CCTCAAAGTAAATCAATAGGTAAATAAATAAATAAATAAATGTCTCCTGCAAAGTTTGTCCTCAGGTCACCTAATAACATTCCTTTGAGACTGTTTCTGAGTCTCTCTCTCTGTTTCCCTCCCTCCCTATCCCTCCCTCTCTCTCATGGATGTTTTCTGTATTAGAAATCAATTTTCCTCAAGACTCTTTTAGTTTTATATAGATATAGCCTGGGAGACTACATTTCACCACAGTATTTATTATTCCAGTCATTCTGTGATGCCGTGATGTAATTGGAAACAGAGGAGGAAAGTGGGCAGGGCACCAAAGATAAATTTGCCCCTTTCGCTTGGCTTCTGTGAAATCTGAGAGACCAAGTCCTCAGGCTGTTCCTGTGAAAGGAGACAGCTTCACATTTTCCAAGTCTCATGACTTCCTGGGGTTTGCATTTCAGACTCCAAGATAGCTTTGTTATGGATGGCCCTGCCTGTTCTGGTGCTGCCTCTTGCCATGGCCATTGACCTGATCAAGGTGAAGCACCGCTCCAAAGGTAAGTGGGTTAATAGAACGGACAGACACTTGGCCATTCTTCAGCAACTGATGAGTCCCAGGAGTCCCTGGCTTACATTCATGTCATCAAGATTCCGTGATGAGTGAGCTTGGAGTTCACACATGAAACAGCAATGGGGTTAAAACACAATTCACAGGGGGCTAGAGAGATGGCTCAGGGAATGTGAGGCTCCCATGGATCTGGTAGTTGGAGTCTTGGTGACTTCATTCTCTCAGCTTTATCTGGTCTCAAGGTGACAATGAAGTCATGAAACCTCAGTACAGATGGAGAAGAGGACCCAGAAGGAGGTTAGGAGGGGGCTGCAGAGCTAGATGGCTTGGGAGTTAAGAGCATTGGTTGCTCTTGCAGAGGACCTGAGTGCAGTTCCCAGCACCCACATGGTGGCTCACAACCATCTGTAACTCCACTTTGAGGGCACTGACACCTTCTTCTGGCCTCTGCAGGCACTAGACATGCGTGGTTCACAGACATACATGCAAACAGGCAAAAAAACATTCATAGACATAAAGTAATAAAAGTAAATAATTTTTAAAGGAAGTTGGAAAAAGAGACAAAGGTGGGCAGTAGGAAAGAAGAATGACAACAAAGTTTGGTGACATCTGTGTAAGAAAATGCCACAATGGAACCTATCACTTGGGGCTGGAGAGATACCTCAGGGGTTAAGATCACTGGCTGCTCTTGCAGAGGACCTGGCACCCACATGGCCGCTCATAACTGTAACTCTAGTTCTAGGGAAGTTGTTTAGCCTCAGGCTTCTTGTACAGCCTTTCCAATACCCAACCATGATCCCCTGCTCTCATCTGTTATCCCATCCCCACCACCAAGCAGGAAAGCTCCAATCTGCTAATTCCTTCAGTCAAGTGAACTAAACCTTATCTGGTCCCCAACTTGTGGTGCTCCATCTCTCTATCAGCGTACAAATTACTCAATCCAGTCACATGCTTTCTTTGAAACCAGGGCCATCTCATTTTCCAGTTACCACAGAGCTGCCTCCTGAAGCTCCCGTTGGTCCCTTGGCCCCCAAGTGCCTCTCTGTGTCCCTGTACATACATGACCATGTCAACTCACCCCAGACCATGAGTTCAGGTGACTAAAAATTTGCCCTCTGCTGGTGGCAAGCATTTGGTCTTTCTTAGCTTTCTTGAATGGAGGATCTCCTTCACTGAAAATTGAACAGGAAGAGATTAGGGCAGAGCAGTGATGACAGTGAGCCCAGCCACGGTGTTAGATTGGAAGGGGACAGCTTGCAGATTCAATGTCTTCCTTTGCACTGAACAGGAAGAACAACCTACAAGACACCAAGTGTGTAGCATGGGCAGGATTGCCTCTTCTGGCATGAGGCAGAGAGAGGAGAACTCCCCAAGCTCTTTCTCAGCTGTTTCCATAGTACCAAAGCCAAACTGAAAAATCATTTTTCAGGGCAGATGTCTAGCATTTATTTCTAGTTTATATGTATCATTCATAGGTGTGCCCTGCCTCTTCTATTACCTAGCTCCACAAACTTATCCCCGGTGACTTCTCTCTCTGATGAATCCTACTGTATACTTTTCTGCAGTGTTCGGGGCTCTGTGGTTTGTCAGCATTTCATCTCAGTCCTAGACACAGCCAGAAGCCTTGGGACACTGCTCTGTCTGCTCCAGCATTGCCTCTCCTTTCTTTCTCTTTGTCCTTGGCACCTGTAATTTCCTCTTCTATTTTCCTTCCAGACCCCAAACACCACAGCAATCAGCAAAATCTCAAGAATGATGAAAGCCACAGGAGGGTTTCCCTCTGACCAGAGGCTCTGAAGGTAGAGGAGGAGGAGGAGGGGGAGGAGAAGGAGGAGGAGGAGGAGGAGGAGCGGGGGGAGGAGGAACAGGGGGAGGAGAAACAGGGGGAGGAGGAGGAGGAGCAGGAGGAGGAGGAGGAAAAGAAGAAGAGGAAGGAGGAGGAGGAGGAAGATGACGACAACAGAAGGAAGAAAAGAAAACAAACCTTCCTCCTGGCATTTTTCAAACCAGTAAGCAAAGCATAATACACGTCATGACAGAATTACCTTCTACTAATCTACACCTCTTAAAACTACAACACTGGGGACAGAACTTCCAGCACACAAACCTCTGAGGACACCAGTCACTCCAAATATAACATGCACACACCATTCTCTTTCTCCCTAATTCCAAATCCTCTCCATGCTCACTATCACCTTTGCTACCTATTTCACTAAGCAAATGAAATACTCAAAAACTTCCATCTGTTCCAACCACCCCATCTAACAACTTAGTTCTATACCCTTTCACCCTCTTTTCCCTACAGTTATGACAGCTACTCTCATCTGCTCCATCTCTATTTGATGTTAGAACTAACCCCTTCTAACCTTGTATGCAAAGTCCTTGCTCCCCTTTCTTTCTTAATCATACGTTATCAATGTTTCCCTTTCCACTGAGTCCTTTCTAACAGAACACAATATGCAATACTCTCTGCATGCGGTCTTTTCATAGTCCTCCACCATCAATATTGCCTAGTAGTAACACTCTTGGAACGGCCCCTCCTACACATGACGAGCTTTGGTTTGTATGAGCAATGCAGCACAGCAGAAGTGGTACTATATAGGCCCCAAATTAGATCAAAAAGGATATTGGCTCTTTCCATAAAGGATCATGTAACCATCTCTTTGGCTCTTTGATCAACCATTCTGAAGTCAACATGGAGGTAGTATATAGAGGGGAAAATGGTTGGCACCAACAAATTGAGGCCTCACACAGGTAAGTTTAGGAGCAAAGTCTCTAGCTCCAGGTCTAGAATGGCAGCATTCTAGGCCAACAGCTTTTAGACAGTTCCCCAGCTTCCACTTTTGAAACATGTTGTGCTTTCCTTATTATATGGTTATCTCCACACTAATGTATTCTTCAGCTCTCCAAAGTATTAGAGTGCCTGCTACCGATATTCTCCCTTAAATATCACATTCAATCTGACGCATTTACATGGTATCTTCAGTCTCTAACTTTTATGTCTGGTGCTAACATGTGATATAAGGTCAACACAAATTAAAAAGAAACTTTACTTCTATCTCAAAACCTAATTATCCCTTGAGTCATTTCTGTGGTCTCTCAAATAGTCACCCAGAATCTACTTCTCTAATCTATCCTCAACGTAGTCATCAAAAGTGATTCTTCCAAACCCTACTCCAAACCCTTTAAATCCTGTCATGATAGCTCACTCACTCAGTTCTAGTTCACTAACTCTGTACCACTCCACAGACACCCCAAACGTGCCTACTACAGGATCTTTACACACTCTATTTCCTAGGCTTAGGGTATTCTTTTAAACCCAAATGATTGTGTCAGTTTCTCTTTCACTTCCCTTAGGTCACTTCTCCTACCACCCAATCTGGGAGGAGTTTCATTATAACCTATTAGAAATGCAAATTTCTGTCAATCTATCCAACCACTCCAACACACAGAATTTCCTATACTTGTTAAGTTTTATTTTTCTGTGTAAGCCAGATCAAAATCTGATATTTATTGGCTAATCAATTTACTATTCATTTCTCTAAATATAAAGTTCTAGAAGGTCAGCAATTTGCATGTTTAATTTATTCTATATGATGCCTAGAAACTACAGAACACTAAGTACACAAGAGCTACTAAACAAACTATTGAAATAAGAAACATAGCAACAGGAGATATTCCCACTGTGAGTCTCCACACCTCCATGCCATATGAGGGCAAGAGGAGTTATGTGAGACAAAGGCCGTAATCCAAGAAAGATGAGAAGAGCAAAGCCCCAGAAATACTGCTTTGTGATAGCCATGGCTCAAACACAGAAACAAACAACCAACTACTAATGAGGAAAAACAGCTTTGACACAAAGAAACCAGGAAGATACTCCCAGACTCGGTGATACGACCTAAATAATACTGCCCATCGCTACAGAAGTATTACATCTTTCCTAGTAGATTCCCCGGGGGGGAAGTAGGGGGTACGGGAACAACCAAAAAACTTGCACACCATTTCTACCCAAAACAGAAAACCTTAATGTAATATGGAAAAACACATTTAAAACCTAGTATTCCGGGCTGGAGAGATGGCTCAGCAGTTAAGAGCACTGGCTGCTCTTCCAGAGGACCTGGGTTCAATTCCCAGCACCCACCTGGCAGCTTACAACTTTCAGTAACTCTAGTTTCAGGGGAATCTGACACCCTCACACAGACATGCAGTCAGGCAAAACGCCAAGGCACATAAAATACCTAAGTAAATCTTTAAAAGCCTAGTATTAAAGATGCTGTATTATGAGTTCCAAGCCAGCTAGGGCTACAAAAAGAAAACCTGTCTCAATAAAAAAAAAAAAAAAAAAAAAACACTCTG